ACATGGCGTGTTCAGTAATATCATGGCGAGTTCAGTAATATCATGGAGTGTTCAGTGATATCATGGCGTGTTCAGTAATATGATGGCGTGTTTAGTAATATCATGTCGTGTTCAGTGATATCATGTGATTACATGGCGTGTTCAGTAATATCACGGCGAGTTCACTAATATCATGGAGTGTTCAGTGATATCACGGCGAGTTCAGTAATATCATGGAGTGTTCAGTAATATCATGTCGTGTTCAGTAATATGATGGCGTGTTCAGTAATATCATGGAGTGTTCAGTGATATCATGGCATACTCAGTAATATGATGGCGTGTTTAGTAATATCATGTCGTGTTCAGTGATATCATGTGATTACATGGCGTGTTCAGTAATATCACGGCGAGTTCAGTAATATCATGGAGTGTTCAGTGATATCACGGCGAGTTCAGTAATATCATGGAGTGTTCAGTAATATCATGTCGTGTTCAGTAATATCATGGCGTGTTTAGTGATAACATGGTATGTTTTGTAATATCATGTGTTCAGTAATATCATGGCGTGTTCAGTGATATCATGACGTGTTCAGTAATATCATGTGATTACGTGGCGTGTTCAGTAATATCATGGAGTGTTCAGCGATATCATGGCGTGTTCAGTAATATGATGGCGTGTTTAGTGATAACATGGTATGTTTAGTAATATCATGTCGTGTTCAGTAATATCATGTCGCGTTTAGTAATATGATGGCGTGTTTAGTGATAACATGGTATGTTTAGTAATATCATGTCATGTTCAGTAATATCATGTGATTACATGGCGTGTTCAGTAATATCACGGCGAGTTCAGTAATATCACGGCGAGTTCAGTAATATCATGGCGTGTTCAGTAATATCATGGAGTGTTCAGTAATATCATGTGATTACATGGCGTGTTCAGTGATATCGTGTGATTACATGGCGTGTTCAGTAATATCATGGCGAGTTCAGTAATATCATGGAGTGTTCAGTGATATCATGGCGTGTTCAGTAATATGATGGCGTGTTTAGTAATATCATGTCGTGTTCAGTGGTATCATGTGATTACATGGCGTGTTCAGTAATATCACGGCGAGTTCAGTAATATCATGGAGTGTTCAGTGATATCACGGCGAGTTCAGTAATATCATGGAGTGTTCAGTAATATCATGTCGTGTTCAGTAATATGATGGCGTGTTCAGTAATATGATGGCGTGTTTAGTGATAACATGGTGTGTTTAGTAATATCATGTGTTCAGTAATATCATGTCGTGTTCAGTAATATCATGTGATTACGTGGCGTGTTCAGTAATATCATGGAGTGTTCAGTGATATCATGACGTGTTCAGTGATATCATGTGATTACATGGCATGTTCAGTAATATCACGGCGAGTTCAGTAATATCATGGAGTGTTCAGCGATATCATGGCGTGTTCAGTAATATGATGGCGTGTTTAGTGATAACATGGTATGTTTAGTAATATCATGTCGTGTTCAGTAATATCACGGCGTGTTCAGTAATATCATGGCGTGTTCAGTAATATTACGACGTGCATTCAAATTAAGAAGTCTCTTTATGTTCATCATAGAAGAAGTAATTTCGCCGACTAAGGTATCCTTAAGGGACTGAGTATGAGTATTTTATTTGTTTGAATCTTCCAATCATCATTTAGTTATCTTGTGCCAGATGATTTGGAGCTATCATGAATACATAAAAAACTCTGCTTAAGTTTATCGGGAACGTATATTGGTTGTTCATAAATAATACCCGTGAAGATCCGGGTTAGAATTGATCTTCAGCAACCAATGCTTGTCGTAAGAGGCGACTTACGGGATCGGGTAGTCAGGCTCGCTGACTTGGTTGACACATGTCATCGTATCCCAGTTACGTAGATCTCATGCTGTTGATCACTGCATTGTGTGGTCCAAACTCGATTATTTACAGACCGCCGCCATATAGCTGGAATGTTGCTGAAAGCGGCGTTAAATAACCAACGAACCAACCAATCTAGAATAAATATAGGTATACGACTCAATCTGCATCTCATAATGTATAACAATTAATGTAATTCATATAGGTTGTGAAAATGTTTATAAAACAGCTGACACAGAAAAGACGTATGCAGATTATGTGCATATTTTGCTAGGTGAACTCATTGTATATGACATGTATAGATATTGTACAGATCCCGTTACTTCAGCTCAATTACACATATCATTACAACCAAGCTCAAGTTATTAATGGGCATCGTCACGGAACCACCTCCATCGGTGTTGTAGTACTCTGTAGGTAGTGGACATTAACTCCACACCGAATATGGTGTGCGCCATCTGTTAATTATGGTGGCTGATTAGGGCCATCGCTTTCTCGCCTTAAAATTCGGAGGCGAGAAAGCGATATCACGAGACGAGAAAGCGATAACGATATTAACGACTGTTCGAACTATAGACCCGTTGCCTTAACATCTTGTTTATCCAAGGTCTTTGAAAAATGTATATTTAAATATGTCTTTAACTTCATGAGAGAAAACAATTGCCTCTCAAATTTACAATCTGGATTCATGCCAGGAGATTCAACAGCTTACCAACTCACGCATTTGTATAATTTTATTGCTAAAGCTATAGACAACGGAAAAGAAGTAAGAGCTGCATTCTGCGATATAAGCAAGGCATTTGATAAAGTTTGGCACAAAGGGATTATCCATAAACTAAAATCATGTGGGATAGATGGGAAGTTACTGAAATGGTTTGGAAGTTATTTGCAAAATAGAATGCAAAGAGTAGTTATCCAAGGTTACAAATCAGAATTAAAACCGATAATAGCCGGAGTGCCCCAAGGATCAGTCCTTGGACCTCTTTTATTCTTAATATACATAAACGACATAGTTGATGGAATCGAAAGTAATATACGCCTTTTCGCAGACGACACAATGTCATCACTCTACGTAATAATCGACGATCCCCATACGAGTGCATTTATTCTTAACTCAGATTTAGACAGAATATCTAAATGGGCGGAAACCTGGCAAGTAAATTTAATCCAAACAAAACTGAAACTATCCAGTTTTCACACAAAACGAAACCCTCTACGAAACCTCCCCTCTCGATGAATGGTACACCTATAAATGAAGTGCAGATTCATAAACACCTAGGCATGATTTTTCAGGAAAACCTCCTCTGGCATTCCCACATTAATGAAATGATAAGGAAAATTAGCCCTATGATTAATTGCCTTCGTAGTTTTAAATATAGACTATCACGCAAAACTCTCGAAACAATGTATAAATCTTTTATCTTACCTCTATTTGACTATTGCTGTCATCTCTGGGACAATTGTACAAACGAACAGTCCTTGTCACTAGAAAACCTTCACTTAGATGCCTTACGCACAATATGCGGTGCAGTTAGAGGTACAAGCCACGCCAAACTATATCATGAGACAAACCTGACTTCCTTATCGAAACGGAGAGAAACTTCTAAATTAACATTATTTTACAAAATGGTTAACCATATGGTTCCTGACTATCTCTGTGATCTTGCTCCAGGGAATGTTTCTGACAACAGTAACTACAATTTTAGGAATAATGCAAATCTACTAATTATGCCAAATCGTTTTTGCCCGATACAATTAAACTGTGGAATGACCTACCTACAAATGCTACAAACGCTTCCTCTGTTGGACAGTTTAAGAATTCAATCACACCACAAGTTAATACCAACACAATGTTCGATCTAAATTTTGGTAGTGGATTTTGTCAAATAATACACTGCCGCCTTAGATTGGGATGCAGTGACTTAAACAGTGATAAGTATAATCGTTTCATTTCTGATAATGTTTCTTGTTCCTGCTCACGAGATTATGAGGATGTATTCCATTGTTTTTTCATGTGTCCTAAATATAATACCATTCGATACGAATCGTATTTCTATGTGAAAGGTTTCTCCCTGCGGGATGTGCTAAATGGCAATAACTCAGTATCTCATCAGACGAATATGGATATTCTACGGTCAGTCCATCAATTTATTATTACATCAAAACGTTTTGATTCATAAAGTTTTGTAGCTTCTCTTATTTTTTTTATTTGTATCAACTGGCCACGAAACAAAGATAAATTGTTGATATCCATGATTGTTATTATTCAGAGATAACTTGTTATAACCACTATAAATATGTATTATGCACAAATGTAAACCTTCACATGTATTATGGAGCGGCATTAATATAAGCCATTTAGGCTTGTTTGCAATCCTTTTCTTTCTTCTTGAATAGAATAAAATATGTTTAAACCAGAAAGCGATAACACGAGACGAGAGCCCTAATCAGCCACCATACTAATCAGCCACCATACTATTCACCCCTGTGATAACTGATACAGGCAGGACACAACATGAGGAGCCTGATCATGCTCGCGGGAGCATGTGTGTGGGCGTTGCTATGAGTGATCAGCGAAATGTATTCAATGAGACACAACGAGCACCTGTCTCGGCATAACCTGCTGATCCCTGCCGCTGTCAACATACACACCTGAGTGGCGCTGTATGAAGCGAGCTTGGCGCTGAGGTGATCACAACTCCCGCAGTTACTTAGACTTACGGCAATCGTGAGTGAGTGATGTTAGTTTTACGCCGCATTTAGCAATATTCCAGCTATGTAGAGGCGGTCTGTAAATAATCGAGTCTGGACCAGACAATCCAGTGATCAACAGCATGAGCATCGATCTATAATTGGGATACGATGATATGTGTCAACCGAGTCAGCGAGCCTGACCACTCGATCCCGTTAGTCGCCTCTTAAGACAAGCATGGGTTACTGAAGACCAATTCTAACTCGAAAACAGTCGTCATTTGCAGTCATTACTTGCTTGAAGTTGTTTGCTAGCGTCGTTTACAATCCTAACCATTGTTCTTGGTAACCGTTAGAGCATTGGCGTTTAATGGTAAGAGAGGGGAGATCACATTATGAATATTGTCGAGCCTTCTTTCTTTTCTTTTCTCTCAGGCTGAGGCAGTGAATAACAATGTCTGGACACCGAGGGAATTGGTCAAACTGGCTGGAGTTCCTGTTCTCTGTGATTGGTTCTATGGTTGGCCTGGGGAATATATGGAGGTTTCCGTACATCTGCTTTCAAAGTGGAGGTGGTGAGTGTGTTGCTGCATGATCATGGTTACAACCAACACTGTCAAAGCTGAAAATATTCCTTGCAGTAGACCAAATGTTATTTATATAATCTAGGGTAACAAATGGATCGTTTCTTTTACATAGAGGCGTTCGCTCGTCACGCTGAAGACCCGGGTTCTATGCCCCACATGGGCACAAGGTGTGAAGCCCATTTCTGGTGTCCCCCGCCGTGATATTGCTGGAATATTGCTAAAAGACGGCGTAAAACCCAACTCACTCACTCACTCTTGACATAGCCTGCTTTGCCAGTTGGTCCTGTCTTACAATGTCGGATAAACCGGGATAAACCGGGACAAACATGACGACTTGGACAGTGCTGGCTAGGTGGACATCGGGTCTTTATACAGCAAGTTGAGAATATATGCAGTTGACAATATACTCAGTGTACCAATTGTGAATCATATGCCATGACACATCCGGGTCTCGAACAACCCAAACAGGTTGTTTTGTTTGATTGACAGTCAAGAAGTTTGTGAGTGAATAATAATGCATACGACTTTATGGATAACAACCATGCTACAGATGTTATTAACTAGCACCCTATTAGTCTGTTTTTGCTCTTTTCACTGGTAAATCCTCCTGCTCATTGGCTTCATGACCCCGTGCTATTTGTTATATATAGGTTATCACGCGAGTGTGTTTTGGGATGGTTAATATCCTGCATTAGGAATAATCATTGTATTTAGCGAGCCTTGGCGAGCTAAATACATAGTGTTTATTCCTAATGCAGGATATTAACCATCCCTAAACACACGAGTGTGATAACCTATTTATCATACAATGTCATTTTTGTGTTATGCTTTAAAAAAATGCGATTTCAAATGCTAAAATCATGAAACTAAACTTCGTTGAATGTCTATGACGTCACAAATATGTGCGGAGTAATACGTTACGTCACAAGCCCGGTGACATAATTTTCTCCTGATCACTCAGTGGTCATCTAGTTCCCATTAAGCTTTTATACTAAAGCACGTATTGTTGTCAACAAATCTTAGCTTACGTTTGAAAAATAACAACATACTCACGTGGACTTTCAGAAACCTTCAATCAACCTTTTGAACAACCAAATACGCTTTAATGTTAGCGTGACACTGTGCACCGTTCTCTCGCTAACACTGACAGTCGGTCGGGGAACTGATGTTGGTATTTTCGTAAGCCTATGAATTTCTATCTTCGCTTTGTAATCTACTCCATCTATCAAAACCAGGCATGAATTTTCTGGGATCAAAGCACTGACAGTACCGTAACCACGGCCGTTAATCTGGACACGACCGCCGACCCTTGACGCCATGTTTGTTTACACTGTGAAAGTAGTCCCTTAAATTTGCATATGACCTCTCTAATTTGCATCGATATCCGTATATGACCCCAACGGATACCGAAAATATTCGTTGGCTTTATCCTGCCGAGAACACTATTCATTGTATGATAAACTTATTCACAGTACATGTATGTATATATTCTTCTCAATGCTTGAATGTAGACACTTTTAGCTTGAAAACGATGTAAGAATCTGCACCCAAACGTCGCTCTGTTAAAAAAACAAGAAGTTGTTATCCAAGTCGTATGTTTTAGTATCAGCTCCAACAGGCTGTCGAGTGCGACCCGTGAAGATCCGGGTTAGAATATTGCTCTTAGTCACCCATGCTTGTCGTAAGAGGCGACTAACGGGATCGGCCCGGGTGGTCAGGCTCGCTCACTTGGTTGACACATGCCATCGGTTCCCAATTGCGCAGATCAATGCTCATGTTGTTGATCACTGGATTGTCTGGTCCAGACTCGATTATTTACAGACCGCCGCCATATAGCTGGAATATTACTGAGTGCGGCGTAAAACTAAACTCACTCACTCACTTTCGAGCGCGTGTCATCATATCCCTACAAAGCATTACTTATTACGCTGTTTGTCCGGTCAAGATCTGATTATTTAACAGCTAAATTACGAAAGCCTTAGAGTACACCTTATAAACTTACACTACAGCCCAAACTATTGTTAGTACAAGACGCTACAATGTGGTGGGTTCATCATCTTCAGAATCGTTTTTCCCACTTGGACCAATTTGAAGAAATGAGTTCCATTTCCGGTGGTAACCGATCTGGATAGCTCCTTTCTAGCGCGCAGCCCCCTTCCCCTACACTCCGAACGAATGCACGCTGACATCACGTGGGTGCAGTGATGCAGATGTTGGTAATCGTGAAAAGGTTGATGTTTTACATTTCAACTGACTCGGTCAATCAGACTTGGTGGTCTTTTGCAGATACATCCCAACGTTTCTGAGGAGCTGAAATACTTATAATGCAGCGTTCACTGAGATGCATGTACTTTTGATATTATCCAAGTACCAATAAAAAGGTAATGTGTGTATGTTTGCCAAATCCCGACAGCTGCCTTCCTGATCCCCTACTTCCTGGCCATGTTTGTGTGCGGAATGCCAGCCATCTTGTTGGAGCTGATGTACTCCCAGTACTCCAACCTCGGACCCGGAAGAGTGTGGATTATCTGCCCTTTGTTTCAAGGTCAGTGTTCGTTTCTCTATGTTGTTCATGTAATGTATTCAGGTCAGTTTTCGGTTTTATGTGTTGCTAATGTCATACATGTTATATTCCTCCGATAATTTGTGTAAGGTACCATGATATTGTCATGATATTGACAGAATCGTATAATTGACTCTTCTTTCAGCAGAGATTTCATATTGATGTGGAAAGGCTTTTGTCGTTTCTATTTGCAGTTGGCTCTTCGAGGTTCATAGCATTGTACATGGATATTGTTTGCCAGTGTGGAGATAATGATAGTAATCTAGAGTCACAAACAAAATATGTGGTGGAAACACTTAAAGGATCAAAACAGTCCATCCGGTGCTGATCAGTTCTTCTTTGTGACAACCAAAGTGGTTAATAAAAGAGATGAACACTTTCGTTTAAATCCTATCCATTTATCCTAATACCCCTTAGTGGTTTGACAAATTTCACGTGCACCACATGCCTGCCATTTTCGTAATTTGTTTACATGGTTTGGCATCAAGTGAGTGAATGTAAAGTATACTGAACCACAAAAGAAATGTCGCACCGATAGCGGTTTCTTAAAGCACACACTTTAAATCACTCTAATTAACAATCAAAACGGAGGATTGGGTTCAACTTAACAGTTATGGTTAACACATTCAAAATCACCAAAAATGGTACCATTAAGATACCCCAAAGTCAGTTTTTTGTGTGGCATCGATGAAAACGTTGCATCGTCTGTACATGGAATGAATAAGCCGGTTGATAAAGACCACAGACACTTGGGTCCATACTCTGTGAAATGCCTGATCGAGTCAGGCAGCGGTTGTCGGCCTTGGGTGGAGGTCATTCAGTCTTCTTTGAATCTCGTCCCAATGGTGTTCTACTGGACTCAAATCCGGACTGAGTGCAGGCTATTGTAGGGTTTGGATGCCATGTTGTCTTAGGAAGTCAAATGTTACTCTGGTAGTGTGGGCACGAGCGTTGTCTTGCTGGAAGATGTGATTTCTGTAACGTCCAAAATGTGGTACAACGTGGGGTCTTATGACTTGTTCAGTATAGCGAGCAGCTGTCACGTCATTTCCTCATCCTGGACCAAGATTCTGGAACACCACGGTGCCAGTTATCTGGTTCAGACACCATGATGCTTGGACCACCCCACGAGTCTCTTTCAACAATACACTCATTGGAAAACAGTTTCCCACGCCTTCACCATCCTCTCACTCTCTTATCGACTGTCGAAACACAATATCGGCTTTCATGAGAAAATAAGCACAGTTCCCTATTGTCGATAACGCCAATTTCGATGCTGAGTTGCCCATTGCAGTTGGTTTGGGCGGTGATGAGCGGTGAGGACAGGACTACGATATGGTCTGTGACAGCAGAGGTTTCTTCCGCGCAAACGTCTACGCACTGTATCGGCACTGGTTGGTCTGTTGTGAGTTCAAATGGTCTGGCGTGCTGTTTCCGTCGCTCGGGGGAAGCGCCCATGCAGATGTTGGCGCACACTCTGTCGGTCTTAACGTTGTGATGTTACTGAAGGTCGCCCAGTGCGTGGACGGTCTTGGATGCTGTTAGTGACCTGATACAACTTGGCAGTCGGTAGATTGTCCTAACATGAACATTAAAATGATTGGCTACCCTCAGTGCAGTCTGACCAACTTGCAAGTCCGAAGACTTGGTTCCTCTGATCTCTCGTAAGTCGTGCCATGGCGATTGTGTAAAAACAAAAATAATTTCAGGCGAGTGTGGACTCGCTTTCATTGGTAGGGTTGTCACGATATGCACGTGCCTTTGCATTTTCACGAATGTCATACGGAAGCTTTGACCACGATTTCCTTTTTAGGTGCGTTTGGTCGATATGCTTTTTCATCAGAAAACACACTGTTGTTGGTAATAACTGTCAATTTGGATTCAAAAACATGACAAAACGATACAATCATAATACAAAAACATTTTGTAAGAACAAAAAAATTGCATTTGGTTTTGAAAAGCGACGTTTCTTTTGTGGTTCAGTATATTTGAAACCCTCTCCTCCGGATGATACATTCATGCAAAAATGTGGTAGGTATTATTTCAAAATTGGAAAAGTTTGTTTTGTCCATGTTCCAGGCATATGCCATTGCAAATTGTTTAAGCTATGTACAAATTTAACTGTGTTCCAGGAATAGGTTACGGCATGGTTGTCCTCACCGCCATCATCAGCATCTACTACAACGTCATCCTCGCTTGGACTCTGTACTACATCGTGGGGTCATTCAGTTCAGTCCTACCGTGGAGCACTTGTGATAATGAGTGGAACACTGACCTTTGCCACGTAAGGACTGACCAGTCCAATTCATCACACGTGCCTCTGCATGGGAATGAAACTCAAGTGAACACATTGTCAGAGCTTGGAACAACCAACATCTCAAACGTGCTGCTGTCTAACATGACTAACCGGACGTTGACACCTTCGGAAGAGTATTGGAGGTGTGTTCCACGTTGACAAATATTGCTGCATGTTTGTGTGTATTCCCACAGGGGCTTGTAACACACAATACTGTCACCAAGGCATATACTGTTCCTGACGGGGTCTTAACACTATATTAAAAGAAAGGTGTGTAACGAGGTCAACACACCAAGTTCGTTTCAGGGCGAATTCAACAATGCCCACAGTCTAAACCTCTTTAAAGCCGTACACGCATTTCAGGCCATCAGATTTACTTACATAATGAGACATACATCACAAAAATCGAATCAGCACTTTGGAAACTAGAGTCTTCAGGAGCTAAAGAATTGTAATCTTTCGATCCCGAACCAAAATCCCTGCTCAGAATTTGTATGGGACATATTATATTCATAGCCAATCATATCGCTGGCTCTTGTCAGTGCGGGGTTGGTCAAGGCCAAGGTCAAGGACAAAATCTCGATTAGTGCGCTGACAGGTGCGATCAATTCAGTATGTTTGGGTGCGTGTCGTTTGTGTACACGATGAAATAAACACGAAAATCGGTTAGTTAGCAATACAAATTCTGAGCAGGGACTTTTGCTCGGAGCTGGCTACGTAAATATTTAGTACCGTCTAGCCTACATATAACATTATGTCCATGAAGACTTGGACGTTATAACCAGGGTGAAGTCAAAACTAGGGAAGCCATTCTAGTCAGTCATAACCAAGTTGTTTATAACATTCATATATTTTTGTGCCATATATTTTGTAGAGAGCTAATGGTTTCGTTGATCATTTTGAGTCATGCCAGTCATAAATGTACGGAGCATGAACTACATTCTGTCTTCCGCAACAATCCCAGGTCTGCACAAAGTGTTTTTATAGTGCAATATCTGACCTCCATGGTATATTCACGGCTGTGTGTAATAGAGTTTTTGGCGTCAAGGTATACACTTTTCTGGGTTTCATTCTTCAAGGTGCTTATCAGACATTTTGTGTAGTATTAAGCGGTTGCCTGCTATTTCCCTTTTCAGTTTCGTTTTACGTAAAATATTGGTACTAAAATCATATGATACTTGAAAAACCTTTACATATGGTGTATGCCGCTGGACTCTTTTTGAATATGTTTAAAATAATGCTTTCCTTTGTACATGCTAATATATCTCCTTTACAACAATCTTCACGTGTATGGGATTCCTTGCTGTACGCCAACACGCCAAACTTGCTTCAAAGACATTAAGATGCACATGAATTCTTAGTAAACTTCATATTCCCGAGTTCTATTTAGGAGAGGGGCGGTGGGGTAGCCTAATGGTTAAAGTGTTGGCTCGTCACGCTGAAGATCCGGGTTCGAATCCCCACATGGGCACAATTTGTGAAGCCCATTTCTGGTGTCCCCCACCGTGATGTTGCTGGAATATTGCTAAAAGCAGCGTAAAACCAAACTCAGTCAGTCAGTCTATTTAGGAGAAACATCTTGATCGTGATCCCAAATATTACATATGTTACATTTGACCACTATCTAAAAGGCATCGTGTATCTATAGCTTTCGGCCGTTGGAGCTGCTCCAATTTACACCTGTCAGAGGGGTACACAAAGTACGTGATTTACACTATCAGACTTCTAATTTTTGTCGAAGCCTCGCTGGCTGAGTGAGTTAGATGACTGACCTTGTGTGCTGGCTATTATGTGTCTGATTCTGGGTGTGTGGATTCGAATTCCGGAATGGACTCAACCTAACAAAAGTACTAGAATCTGTACTTTATTGAGAAAGTGTAATCCTAAATAAAACACATTTCACATTTGACCACTTTCTAAATGGCATCGTGTATTCATGGTATACTTCTACCTGCACCTTTAACTCGAAAACACTCTAGCATAGCATCAAACATAAGACAATTGCACATTTAAACCAAGTGACTAGAGCTGTGCCAACTCTTACCAACATCCATATATATTTTCATGCATATCTAACTGTTCCCAATACACTCGAGCGCATCCACCTGCTGTTATTACGAAGCTGGGGACAACACTCCATTTCCTATGCGATGTCTGCTAAATTTCTTCATTTTGCTGTACACCCTCTAAGGTACCCAAACACCAAAACAATGAGGTACTTAAAATATACGGACAAGATACAGTCAAGGTCTATTTATCTATTAAATTCAAAACTGAATTTCAGGGCATATGAGAGAGACACCAAAACTACATACATGCATTTTTTTAAGTCAAGAGATTTTTTATTATGCATCCTAAAGCTTTATGTGATCAAATCCCAGAAACGATGTTTAATCAATGTACTTCAGACACCACGTGCTTCAGATGTCCTCGGGCATCGAAGATGTGGGAAGTGTCCGGTGGCAGCTGCTTGTGTGTCTCCTGGTAGCCTGGCTGGTGGTCTTCCTCAGTCTTATAAAGGGCATCAAGTCATCGGGCAAGGTAGGGTCATTACAATATTTATTACTTATATGGGAAGGAGGACACAGGGTAGTATTTTCCTGTAAGTCCTTAAGGCGGTTACACCTTTTGGTGAACGTTGATTGGCTGTTTAAAAAAATAAACAGCCAATTAACGCGTGGGGATATGGGGATTCCCCACATCGAGGGTTTCCATATGGAGAATGCTGTTCATTTAGCATTTTTAGATCGAAAACTGATATGGGTAATTGACACAGATGGCACCATGGTCAGTTATGATGTGGTAGATCTTTTTACAAAGATTCCACTTGACGAAGCCCTGGACATTCTGCGCACCAACTTAGAAATCTGCATCAATGACACAGATACTTAATTATCCGTTGACAGCATCATCAATCTTGTACATAGTTGTTTTGAGACTTCTTATTTCAGTTGGCAGTACCAAATATACCAGCAAATACATGACTTACCCGTGGGCTCTCATCTGTCACCTCTCATAACAGAGATCTACATGACTAACTTTGAAGAAGCTGCTCTGTCCACCTCCCCCATCAAACCCTTATGCTGGTACCGGAAGGTGGATGACACATTCACTATCCTGGAAAAGAGTCTCCTCCATCCTGCTCGACCATCTCAACAAACAACACCAGCGTATCCAGTTCACCATGGAGACTGAGAAACTACATCAACTCCCTTTCCTAGACATCACCATTCAGAACTCCAACAACCAGCTCATCACTTCTGTCTACCGTAAGCCAGCCCATACTGACCAATACATCCACCATCACTCCAACCACCATCCCCAGATCAAGAGAGCCATCGTTTCAATGCTTGCAAGACGTGCTAAGAACATCTGCAGTCCCTCCAATCTACAACAAGAATTAGCCCACCTCAAATCTACCTTCATCACCCTCAGTGGCTACCCGAGACACCTAGTAGAAACCACCATCAAGAAGACATTAGAATATCAAGATCAACCTCCTACTAAGCCTGAACCATCCCCTATTTGCATAAATATTCCCTATGTTTGATCCATCAGTTATCACACCAGCAGACTTCTAAAGAAAACTGCCATCATTGACACTACCTTCTCATCTGGCAAAACCCTGAAAACTTTATTAAAAGCCAGTGGTAATGGAAGCCGTGAAACTATCCCTAACCCATGAGAATGTGTGTACAAATTGAAATGTACATGTAGCAGCACCTACATAGGTGAAACAGGCAGGCCTGTATGTACTCGTAAAGAGCACAAAGCATCGGTGAAAAACTCGGACATGAAATCAGCGTTATCAGAACATGTGATCAGAAATCCCAGCCATACCATCCATTGGGATGACACTGACATTTTGGCCGTCAACATCAGCGATTGGCGGAAAAGGATATTGATGGAGGTCATCTGGATCCACCGCACCAAACCTTAAAATCAATTGGTCAGGGTGTTTTTCTACCGAATGCATGGTGCATAGAATAATGCTTTCAATGTACATGTTTTCCCTTGTTCCCCTCAATCACTGTACATGCTTATTTGTGTTTTCATATAAGTGTTTTCCTATTGTTGTTTTCATAAGTGGCTTCCATCATCCTTCATTGATTTCATAAGTGGCTCCCAATCAATCCTATCATGTATGTCCAATCCTTTACACTGTATAAACATTCTGTACGTCCTTTGTATAAACATACCACTTAATCTCTTTGAACTCTGTACATTTCATCTAAACACATCACCTAATCTCTGTACATCTCAATCTGTAATACTATCTCACTGGCTTCCTGTACATTCTATATATATTGCTTGTATCATATTCTGTCATTGACCTGATGAAGGGACAAGAAGTAGGCCAGAAACGTCGTGTTGTAAATCCATACCATACGTTATTGTGCTACCTCCCAACTTCTCCCCGACCGCGTCATACCAAAAGACGTTAAAATGTGGTACTTGTTGGTCCCTGTCTGGCGCTCGGCATTAATGGGTACAACAAGGACTGGTCGGCTCGGAGTCAGTATAATGTGTCTGAGTGGGGTATTCATGCTTCACTGCGGCATGGTATCTCAGTGGGCTAGCACTATAAAACCAGCTTCAGTCTGGGCTAGTACAAGCAGCAACACATACACATACACACGCATGCACGTCGTCATATGAGCGAAATATTCTCAAGCACGACGTAAAACCCAATTTCACCACCACCACCTCCCAACTTCTAAATGCCCATCAAGCATCTATGCTGACACACCTTGATTTAAGTGAATAATGTTCACAGCAGCGCCAATTTTTAAGGAAACTCAGTCAGTCTCATATTTGAATGTTATTTATAACTGATATTACTTTTCAGGTTGTGTACGTTGCAGCCACCGTTCCGTATCTGATTCTGATAGCTCTGCTTGTTCGTGGATTGCTGCTTCCGGGTGCTGTAGAAGGAATAAGATACTATGCTATACCACAGTGGTCGAAATTACTGGATGCTAAGGTTTGTTTGTAGAATGAATTAATTTCATTACAACTCATAAAGGTTAAGTTTTGTTATTTTAATGTAAATGTGTATTTAGTATGATTATCCTGTCAGTCTGACCCGTGAGGATCCGGATATAATTGGTTTTCATCAGTCAATGCTTTTTACGGTGGTCAGACTCAATATATGATGGTCATGATGCGTAGATCGATGCCTAAGACTTCAATCACTGGATTGTCTGGTTCAGACCGCTGTCATTTAGCTGGAATGTTGCGGCTTTAAACTGCTGACTGCGGCTTTAAACAACAAACATATATCTTTCCTTAACTGAACCGAAGCCTTGAACAATGTCTTTTCCAAATCTAACAGTGAAGCATAACCAGAATAAGTTTTAAATTCGATAATTTTATGTTTCTTTCTTTAACGCTGCACTTAGCAAATATCACGAATATATGGCGGCGGTCTGTAGATAATCGAGTCTAGACAATTCAGTGATCAACAGCATGAGCATCGATCTACGGAATGGGGATACGATAACATGTGTCAACCAAGTCAGACCACCCGATCCCGATAGTCGCCTCTTACGACAAGCATGGATTGATGAAGCCCAGTTCCAACTCGGATCTTCACGGGTTTTAAATTAGATGATCAATAAATGAACTGTTCGTCCAGGTTTGGCGTAATGGTGCCTCCCAGGTGTTCTTCTCTGCTGGTATTGGCTGGGGAGGGATAGCTACCCTGTCCAGCTACAACAAGTTTCACAATAATTGTTACAGGTATGAACTGGGTATAGTATTATTGATTATTGTCTCTTGATATATTGCTGGTCCACCAAAAGTACCACAGAATCCCTGTTTCAAAGATTAACCAAACTCCTTCACAGATATTATTTGAGACCACTGGAATCAATGCCACATGCTTTCTCAAACACCTCTAGGATTCACGTGCATTTTTGCAAAAAAAATGAATCAAGGAAAGGGCAAAGTTCAATGGTGTTTCAAAATTTGATTGGTCAACTTCGTACTATACCACACGACAACATTTTCCTTGATTTATGAGGCATAATGAAGACTGGTTATCCTCTGGCGTTCTCTCGCGATCCCGTTTCTTATATACAAAATGGCGGTAGTTGTAGATTCACATTATAGAACTGGCAGCTGAACTGACCTCATGGACCTGTTTCTGTCTCAGGGATGCTATGGTGCTCCCTCTGTTGGACTGTCTGACCAGCTGGTTTGCAGGATTCATCATCTTCGTGTTCCTGGGTTACATGGCCAACCAGTCCAACCTGCCTATCTCGGAGGTAGTCAAAGAAGGTGGGTGTGATATTATCCTGAATATTCACAGGGCAATCTCCATACCTCATTCATTACATATATTCCAAACAGATATCGCTGTACAAATAGTGTACACGAATCATCCTGAACGACGAGGTTTACTATGGCTTCAGAACATCTACACAGAAACATCGCATATATTTCAATAAAGAAGTGTTATATCCATAGAAAAGTCCCCCTTGTTCACAACAACTTCCAACGGCCACTCAAAGAAGTGTGACTTTTGTAGACTGACATTCATGCCCTTTGGTTTACGTACAACTGTGATTCAGAGGGAGTTTGTCGTTTTTGTCACGTTTGATACAATCATAAGACACAACTGTACTCACCCACATACTTGTTTCGTAAACAATACCATACAGATGCCTTGACTGATCCGTTGTCGCGACCAATTCACAGCCGACATGTGTAGTCTGTTCGTGGAACTTGAGTTCTTGCTAAAGATCAAGGAGTCTTGACAGGACTTTATTATGGCAAACATGGAAATTTATGAAAAAGACCCGGGTTTCACTTCGATCCTTGTTCATACGTGTCGTATTTTCCAGGACCTGGTCTGGCGTTCATGGCGTATCCTGATGCGGTGTCGACTATGCCGTTGCCGCAGTTGTGGGCATGTCTGTTCTTCCTGATGCTGTTTACTGTGGGACTTGATAGTCAGGTAAATATTGTCCTTTTATTGTCTTTGACGACGTCGGACAAAGACGACATTAGTGCATCGATTATATATAACATTTCATCTTATTTACTGTTCACCTGAAACTGTGAGCTGATGTCGGGGTCTGTTCGTCAGTCGTCCCGTATCCCTCAAACTCAGCAACCACTGGACCATTGAAGTTCAAATTGTCCGCAGTCACATTAAAAAATGCCAAATTAATTTGTGAAACAGAAAACGAGAATTCTTTACCATGTCATCAAATCACTGTTTTTACCATGTTAATTGTATCTTAATTATTAAATAGATAGTTCATTAGAGATACCGTTCGGCATCATTCGTTTTACATCATTCAAATGCTAAATATAATATTTCTGAACAAATGTTTTTTAAATATTATATATGTGAATCGTTTCTGAATAAATGTGCACTCGGCGCATCTATAAAATCATTGTTTCGTCACTCTCACAATACAGTTTTAAAATGTTTCAAAATAAAGAAGGAATTAACACAGTATATTAAAATGCAATGCTCCAATTAATGAAAACATCCGTATCAGTTCGTCCACGTCCAGACCATTGTCACGGCCCTCACCGACGCCTTCCCAGCATTCCTCGGACACCGGAAGCTCCTGGTTACAGCTTGCGTCTGTTTGACTGGGTTTATTTTAGGCCTGACGTGCGTTACTCAAGTAAGTACAGACATATATCACTGTTTTGTCTCACATCTCACAGTGCGTCATCATGTTCATGCGGCACCAATCCCAGGACCTTACAATTTGCAAACGATGCTTATGGTTCAATCTGTTAAGAAGATGCAGTTGCCCAATTGTACAAGTGCCTTATACATGATTGTCCCTGAAAGTGATTCTCCATTTGTCAGCAGCATAGCCATCGCGGGTACCGACCACACCAGTGTAATATAATTCAAAGGGAAGTATTACACAACATAGTGAAGCAATAAACACACAACACTGATATGGGGTCTTCGCGGACATCTGGTCATCAACGATTAACAGTTATCCTTTCATGCAACTTTCACAGGTGTTTTGCCCTTAACGACATATGTAATATGAGTAGGCGGACAATAAAGACTTGTTTATACCTTGCATGTATCGACGTTTTATACTCTCTTAACTCGATTGCTGGGGCGGTGGCTAGCCTAGTGGTTGAAGCGTTCCCTCGTCATGCCGAAGATCCGGGTTCGATTCCACAGATGGGTACAATGTGTGAAACCAATTTCTGGTGTCACCCGCCGTGATATTGCTGGAATATCGCTAAAAGTGGCGTAAACTGAACTAACTAACTCACTCCATTGCTGTGTTGTTCGTACAGGGCGGTATCTACGTGCTGACGCTGATGGACTGGTACGTCGGGAGTATATCAGTCATGGTGCTGGCGATGTCGGAGATGTTGGTCCTTGCCTGGGTATATGGTGAGCCTACCTGTGGGGATTACATTTGTCAGAGTCACCAGTGGTAACGTTTCAGAGGTCACATGGGGCTTACCCCCCACTGAGTGAATGAGTTCAGTCACCTCTGCAATATTTCAGCCATATAGTGACTGTGACATTTCATACATTAGTCCTACACAGAAAGGACTGAAAGACACGTCGTCATAGGACAGGGAAATAACTACAATATCACTGATATATATCTAAAACTAGTATTAACCTTAACATATGACTAGTCATAACAATACATTATACAGCACCATGTCCACCAAAAACTTCAGTGAACCCTTGAATGTTGTAACCTTGAGTAAGAGTCGTATGATGCTGTTTACCCAATTGTACCTCAAAGGTTGAGAACTGTAAACACCAAGGGATGGAGCTGTTGGAATAGGATCTTTAAACCTCGCGAGGCGCCACTTCCGGTACTAAGCTGGTTCCTGGATCCCTATGCGCGCGCAAACTTGTGATATGCGAGACGGGGCCCAGCTTACTTCCAGTACCAGATTTCCGGTGACCAGCCGGCTTGGTTCCCTGGGTCTGTGGAGAGTTTGTGTCACGATATGGCTGAAATATTGCCGATGTGACGTTAAATAATAACTCACTCACTGTGGAGAGTTTGTTGTCAGCCTATGCATAGCTCTAAATAGATGCATATATATATTTATGTACGATATTAGATCATCGATATACCCGAAAGTTGAACTTCTTTGAAAAAATTTACATTGTTTTGATTTTGACAGTCCAATTTTGAATAATCTGCATAAAAACACACCCGCAAGAAGGAGAGAAAACGTGGTGCCCATGGGAATGCCTACTTCGTGTCTAAATGTTTTACCTCCAATGTTACACGGATGGTTTCAGTGAGGAAGTCGAGCATTTCAGATATAGTTTTCTCAGTAAACTTCAATTGACATTTGTTTTCATTTGTGACATATTGTCCTGAACCTCTGAAGATATATGTATATATGTATATATATATATATAGGTATATCTTTGTTCACAACGTTTATTAGCAAATACCACATGGGTAAAAAAATGAAGTTATTCCTTAAATTTGTCACGTGTGATTGTGGCATACACGGCTGAAAAATGAAATGTTTGGACAGAAGTCTGTCCATTCTGAGATTGTAAATATTTTGGGTCAAAACAGTGGATTATGTATGCTAGTTCACACATCAATATGGTGACTGGTGCCCTAGAAATACGTTGTTTTAGATGTTGCTAAAATATGGCATTTGTTGAAGATGTGTGACGTGTGTTTATTCAAAGCCTGCAGCACAAACGGCCCTAGCATATGCAAGCGCACACTTCCCCCATGTCTATGCGAACATTAACCTGAAAGCGTTCTCTGGGCTGTTTACACGTCTCGAACAATTTGGTAATGATGAAATTTGCTTCGTGTATAATGGCTCACACAGCAATATTTAAGTTATATGACGGCGCCTGTAAATTGTATCTTTGTCCATATTCCTTAAACTGAATTGTTGTCATGAGTCAGTGATAAAACCTAAACTGTCCTGTTATATACAGGTGTAAACCGTCTGTACGATGATCTGGAGATGATGATTGGCTACCGAGTGTCTCCTGTCTGGAAGGCCATGTGGCTTGTCGCCACACCTCTGTTTGTCTTTGTGAGTACTCAAGGAGTCAGACAGCTGTTGGGTTCCTTAATGTTGTGTAAATTCAAATCTCTGCAAATAATACCGCATTGTATATATCGTACTTATCACTAAGCTGTTCGCTCTGACGCACGGAAGGAAATAATGTGTCGTTGTTTCTTGTACAGGTTTTGTTCATTGCTGGACTTACCAGCATGTCTCCAGTAGCTCTTGGTGGGAGGGAATTTCCTTATTGGGCACAAGCAGTTGGTTGGCTGATAGCAGTTTGCCCTTTACTTCCAATACCTGTGGGCATGGTGCTGGCCATTTGGAGGGAAAAGGATGGGTCTTTGAAAGAGGTTAGTAAATGAGGAGAATTCTTGCAAAGCCAACAAAAAAGAAAGAAAAACGTTTCACTGACATGCAGGCAAACGTTCGTGACATTCAGACATTGTGAATACAAACACTAACACCTCCATATTCGTGACCTTTGCCACCTTCGGAGAAGATTAATCCTAGTAAGACGTTATCACAACACGTTCACCTTTGAATAGATTGTATTACAACTCATTTTGTAACATTCCAGCATAATCGCGATGGGGATGCCACAAGTGGGCTTCACACATTGTAACCATATGGGGAATAGAACACAGGGGCTAGCGAACGCTTGAACCGCAAGGCTCATACACATGAAGCATTGTTTATATACATCGACACCACCTGTTTAAAGGTATTCTTTAAAAAATCAATGTTACATTTGTTCGCTCGCTGTCATGAAATATATGTTGTGAATTAAACCTTAAATATGACATCCCCTTCCCGCTTAACTCCAGACTCGCAGCGGTGGCCTAATGGTTAAAGTGTCCACTCGCCACGCTGAAGACCCAAGTTCGATTCCCCACATGGGTACAAAGTGTGAAGCCCAATTCTGATGTCCCCGTCGTGATATTGCTGAAAGCGGCGTAAAACCATACTCACTCACTCACTCTCCTTCTACGAGAGAAAATGCTTGACAGAAAATATACCTTGTCTCATGTAACCACTAACCCCTGTCTCTTAAATAGTGGGGGCGGTGGGGGTAGCCTAATGGTTAAGGCGTTGGCTCGTCACGCCGAAGACCCGGGTTCGAATCCCCACATGGGTACAATGTGTGAAGCCCATTTCTGGTGTCCCCCGCCGTGATGTTGCTGGAATATTGCTAAAAGCGGCGTAAAACCAAACTCAGTCAGTCAGTCAGTCTTAAATAGTAGGTCTTTTTAAATTTATTGAAAGAGTTCTGTGTCTTTGTTATGTTTTTATCGATTGTGCATAATAGGAATATCATAACTGAGTGTGTTTACAGAGGCTGATCCAAGCAACCAAGCCCAGGAAGGAATGGGGGCCAGCACTCGGTGGTAAGACTGAAGAAGGGAAGGACGAGATGGACCTGAAGACTAAAGATATGCTGCTCAGTGACGCCCTTAGTTAATGAAAAAAGGCGAATTGTTCATGCTAGATTTTAGATAACAGTGGAACTATCAGATGGACTTTCCTCTTGTTGATTGGTTAGATCGCCCGAACTATGAATACCCTCTACCTCGTATCCCCTAAATGGAATATTGTTTTTTGCTCAGTTCCCGTTTGCGTTGACATCGGTGTCCTTGTCCCCCAACCTGTCCCAGCCAAAATTGTCCAGGTATTATAGTAGGCAATAGCAGTGCTTGTAGACACTGGTAGGTAGTCTTCGGTATGTGGCAGATATCACTGGATAATAGGCTATGGCGGATGGTAGATATGGCTAGTAGAACTTGGTGAGTGATGCACTGTACAAAAATGATTTTAGAACCCGACCACGAACCCAAGCACATTCCGTGTCACGTACGTGCATCACTCCTTTACAGGCTTATACATGTTAGCATCGTAAATTGTGATTCCAATCTAAACATTTCTACAGGTTCTGTAAATGTTTATGCCTCTAAACACGTTAAGATTAATGTTCAGGATCTAAATTCCTAAGTGTTACATGACAGTGTATTATAGATAGTTACGACAAAACCGTTTCCGGATCCAGTAGAAATCGCGTTGTAAATGAGAGTCGATTGTACAATAGCGACCACATTTGTTTGTTTGTTTGTTTGACCCCGCACTAAGCAATTTTTAACAGTATGACAGCTGTCTGTAACTAATCAAGTCTGGACCAGACAATCCAGTGATTAGCATCATGGACATCCTTCTACTCTGTTGAGGTACCATGACATCTGTCTACCGGGTCAGCGAGCCTGATCATCCTATCTCATGACAAGCATGGCTGCTGAAGATCAGTCCTAACCAATATCTTCACGGGTCTGCTAACTTTTATCTCTGACTTTATTGTACTGCATTAATATCACAGTATCATTTATAATTGTAATATCTCTACAGTATCATGTACTGCCATTGAATTTGGTAATATCACAGTATCATGTACTGCCATTGAATTTGGTAATATCACAGTATCATGTTCTGCCATTGAATTTGGTAATATCACAGTATCATGTTCTGCCATTGAATTTGGTAATATCTCACAGTATCGTGTACTGCCATTGAATTTGGTAATATCACAGAATCATGTACTGCCATTGAATTTGGTAATATCACAGTATCATGTTCTGCCATTGAATTTGGTAATATCTCATAGTATCGCGTACTGCCATTGAATTTGGTAATATCACAGAATCATGTACTGTCATTGAATTTGGTAATATCTCACAGTATCGTGTACTGTCAATGAATTTGGTAATATCACAGTATCATGTTCTGTCATGTAATGACAAAGTTCGTTATTATTTTGCAGTAATTTGTTCGTGATCCTATACATTACAGAAATACATTCACAATCAAAGATTGAAGTTTTAATAAACAATGTTTGAGACTTCTAATTCGTATTGTCTACTAACTATGTCTTTTCACGGCTGATGAGTCTATATACAATCTACACACAAAGGCCACAATATAATCGCCACAGAATGCTGATTATAGCTTATATCAAAGTGTGAATGTAGAGGCACGTTGTGGCACACTAATAGTGCCCGGGGCACTGATGCTCGCCTGCATTATATCATCGAAATGTTGAACATCAGTGACAAATGAGCCGAATTATGTTCATTTGGCGCAAAATAACGGTGAAAGGTTTATAATAGACAACTGAATGTGATGTGATGACACCAGGTGTTCACTAGAAGACTAGCATATGGTGGTGTGCGGTCGTGTACATAGAGGGCAGGTCACAAATCAGGGGAAGTTAAGCAGTGTTGGGTATGGAGGGTCCTTGGATGGGTGACCAGCTTGACTCCTGAGAATTTCTAGGACTTCTGTCCTGCCCCACAACGAAACAGCTATGCGGCCACACCCTAGGCAAGTGAGTTTGTTCAAAATTGCCTCTGTTCACCCAGCACAAAATGGGTACCCGGTGGTATAAGTCATGACAATTAACCTTCTAGCATCTCACAGGCAGCTTGGGTTATCTGGGGTAAGAATATCTATCATGTTGTGTGAGCTTAGAACATGGCCCTGCCCTGTGGAGTACCGCACTATATATTATTATTGCCCAATTATCATTAGCACCCACACCATTTGCATAAAAGGGTGTCTTTCTGGACAACAGACACTAGAACTCCCTCAATACATATTTCTTTGGGCACCACAAGGCGGTGGGGCAGTCAACCGGTTAAATCATCCGAATTCGATTCCCCACATGAATACAATGTGTGAAGCCCATTTCTGGTGTTCCCGTCGCGATATTGCTGGAATATTAAAAAGCAGCGTAAAAACACTCACTCACGTGCAGATGTCAGTGGTAGACAATGGAGGCGTACGTTGGTGGAAAGGATCAGTCAGGTAGTGGTCGCGTTAGACATCCATATCAAAACATGTAATGTCTCGGAAAGCCAGTTTAAACATGTTAAGGACGTCAGGTAATAGTATCATGTACTGCCATTGAATTTGGTAATATCACAGTATCATGTACCGCCACTGACTTTGGTAATATCACAGAATCATATACTGCCATTGAATTTGGTAATATCACAGTATCATGTACCGCCATTGAATTTGGTAATATCACTGTATCATGTACCGCCATTGAATTTGGTAATATCACAGTATCATGTACTGCCATTGAATTTGGTAATATCACTGTATCATGTACCGCCATTGAATTTGGTAATATCACTGTATCATGTACCGCCATTGAATTTGGTAATATCACAGTATCATGTACCGCCATTGAATTTGGTAATATCACAGTATCATGTACCGCCATTGAATTTGGTAATATCACTGTATCATGTACTGCCATTGCATTTGGTAATATCACTGTATCATGTACTGCCATTGATTTTGGTAATATCACAGTATCATGTACCTCCGTTGAATTTGGTAATATCACAGTATCATGTACCGCCATTGAATTTGGTAATATCACTGTATCATGTACTGGCATTGATACACACATCCATATCAAAACATGTAATGTCTCGGAAAGCCAGTTTAAACTTGTTAGGGACGTCAGGTAATAAGTTCATTGACAATCTGACACTAAATGAATAAATGTAGACGGAGAGCAGTTTCTGTCACCATCTGTGTTTGTGTGTGTGCATGTGCGTGTGTGTTTTAGTTCTAGCTTATCACGTAACAACATATAGCATTGAAACCGAAACATGAGTCTCATTAACCTATTAAGACAATGATCAACTTTTCAGCCGATCCGAATTTTCTCGTGTGAAAGTGAAAATACACATCACAAACAACTATGGTTACACTGCATCCCAATTTGTTGTGTCATAAGAAAATAGTATTTACGATTGAATTTTAATTTTAAACTTTAATAACATCGTATTTCTACATTTCATGGCGAGGTGTAGGCAGCATGACCTTAACTAAGACGTCACAGAATGCCCCTGTTTGATGAGGTCGTAAAATGATTCACAATGCATCTGACTAACTGGTTACACCTGTTATGTGTCTTGTTTACTTATTCCGTGTAGTTCTGTAGCGCACAATGTGATTGATATAATATCAATTCCGTACCAGACCGCCAAACATTTCTAGCGGCAGAGCCTCGTTTTGAGATTTCCACGATTTCCATGTTTCCGTTTGTCAGAGCTAGCCGTACGACAGAGCACTCTGCACAATGTGTTTACAAGGATTAGAAGGAGCGTAGTGTTGCAATAAACAAGTGCTTAGATGTATCAAATAATACTGATTAATATTTATGTATCCAGTTAAATGAATTGGTCTCAGAATTCTGGAGTGGTTATTGTACTAAGTTGCGCAATAGCACGGAACCCAGTCAAGAGTAAACGAGACTGTTGTGTAATCAATGTTTTGACTTGCAACACAACGAGGAGATCGGGAGTTCTATGGATATACAACTTCTATATTATCAATACGAGCGACGTTTCCGTGTAGGTACTAACACCGTTATCAAGTAAATAAAGCAGGCAAGGCTATATATTCATAATAAGTTTGAACAGTAAGTTCATTGGTGTTTACACAATTAATACGGTTGATGTCCTCGTTCAAAACACTTTTAAATGCCACTCGAAGAAGGTAACATACACCACTTTAGAGCATTTAATTATGCACACCAGCATCATTTAATTACCATATCGATCGGCCCTTTTCCTGACACACTTTAAGCACGACCCTTGTCATCTGGAACGTCAAGAAATATCCTCGACACTGAATATGATGCAACGTCAATGATCGAGCCCCACCAGTGTTTCCACGCCATATGCTGAAAGCCTGTAACAGCAGCGGCCAGCCATTCTCGGGCCAGTCACCAGGAAACAGCCAGTGAACCCACGTGGGACGAGGTAGGATACTCCAGCCATGATAATTGGGAAAACACTGGGAACTAAATTACATCACAGAACCAAAAAAATGAAAAGGATCGAATAGTGTGAGTAATCTAATTATGTTTCGCTGCTGTTACATTAATATTTGTATCCAGACAGATATATACATGTCAGCGAGATTCAGTGCATGTTCACGGTGTGTGTCCAAAAGCCTGCTTCGCCATATTATATATTCAGCGTCATCAATGAAGGGTCAAGCTATCGGTAACACTATTTTTTAAAAGTTGTAATACTTTCGTTTTTGTTTTTAATTATATACAACTGAATGTTTTACAAACTTTTTAAACAGTATGAAAAAAAACACACCAGGCCGTTGAAATGCCATTATTACGTTCTTAAATGTCAGATACATTCTGTTACAAATGGCACATTTGTTATTCAAATTGTCAATATGGAAATCTACCTGCCACCTGGTGTCAATGATTTCCACGTGCAGGTTGTTCTATCAGTGGAAAGTAGACGGGCGATACACGTGTTTTGATGCTTTTTAACTGTCGTTAACTGTTCAGGTACCTGTTTGTAGCTTAAAAATCGCAGCTTAAAATGATACATTTTTTGACACTTGCTGAAAGGGGTCAGACTATAGGCCTTTTGAAATCTGGTCAAACTGGTTGCTGTCTGCTTTAATGTGAGTCAGCGTGCTATTGGTAGAGTGTGGCAGAGATTTCAAGCCAATGGGTCCGTGGAATATGCACGTAGACCAGGTCGCCGCAGAGACACAACTGCCCGAGATGATTAACACTGCGTTACGTAACAGATTCCTTAACTCAGCAGAACTTCAGACAGAAAACTTCAATGTTAACAATGTAAGGATATACAGGAGCATCGTTCGTCGACGTTTAAGGGCAGCCGGATTGCGCTGTAAGCGACCTGCAGTTCGTCGACCACTAATAGACTAGTCAAATTTCTAAGAAATGTGGATTTTAAGGATGCATGAGGCATTTTTGAGTAAAAGCAAGCAAACAACATTTTCTGTGGTAGATTTTCGTGCTGAATACGAATCTGTTGTTTGCTAAGCTCAAAAATGCCTAATTAGGTCACAAATTGGGTTCAAAGGTCAATGAGTGCAAAATTCATGTTTTTTTAAAAAGTGTTTTATTTATCATTCTCCTTCCATACAATGAACTCAGTTTACAATATATTGATTAATAATGGTACCACAAGATTTGAAAATGTTGGATTTCATCGAAATGCTGAAGGAAAAATTTCATATTTTTGCAAATATCTCCCTTATGGAGCGGTTTTTAGTTTTTGCTTGAAGAGCTACTTTTTACAAGCATTTTTGCTCAAAATGCAAAGCAAGGCTGAATCTTTTCCTTTTGTTGACAGAATTATATTCTAGGCAAACTGTTTAGATCACAAATATCGCCTATTAAGCGCATA